GGGATGGAGGGGATGGAGGGATGGAGGGATGGAGGGATGGAGGGATGGAGGGATGGAGGGATGGAGGGATGGAGGGATGGAGGGATGGAGGGATGGAGGGATGGAGGGATGGAGGGATGGAGGGATGGAGGGATGCAGCGATGGAGTGACGGCGAGAGGGCGAGGGAGGGTGAAAGGGCTCTTGGCGCGGGGGCATGGCTGCCTGGGCAGGGCAGCCATTTGCTGGGTAAAGGGTGGACTGGGAATACTGCGATGTAGACGTGCTGGAGACATGGACCGACTATAGCTAGGCGTCGCAGGCAGGGCATCGAGGCCGCGGAACCGGCGGAGGGCGTCTTGTTTGGCGTAGGTGTAGTCGTGGTCTGGACAGCGACAGATTGCGCATGCATGCAGCGTGAAAAGCGCGTCGCCGTAGTCGGCCGAGGCGACCAGGCCCGCCATGCTATACCCACCAGCGCTATCACCACCAACGGGCCGCTTACGAGCAGCTGGGGGGCGATCCCAGCACGTCGGGAGAGCGAGCGAGCGAGCGGGTGAGTACGAGTAGGCGTAGGCGTAGGCGTAGGTGTAGCAGCAGCAGCAGCAGTATTGGCGGTGGTGCGAGTGGTGCTGCTGCGCTACTCTACATAGATGGTATATGCATCCACCCGTCCATCCACCCGTCCATCCACACTGCCACTACACACTCACCCTCACACTGACACTGACACGCCATACACGTCCATCCATCCATCCATACATACATAACACGCCCGCCAGCCCATCCGCCACCCGCCGTCCCATCCCACCCCATCCACCCCATCCATCCCATCCATCCCATCCCACCCATCCCATCCCAGCCCGCCATCGCCGTCGCCGTCGCCATCGCCCGCGACAGGCATCTGCTGTCTTGCTCCACGCCGCCGCCGGTGGGGTCGTGTACCAAGCCTTCGGTGTCCCGCCCAGTTCCAGCGGCCAGACTCTAGGGATTGCGACGGGCGTGAGCTGCATGCACGTCTGACGGCGCCCTCAGCTTCTTCGCTTGCTGCCCGTATCACTTGCTCTCGTCCCGCTCCCCAGACTCGACTCGACCCGCCTGCCATTCCGCCGCCATCTCCTCGCCCACCCCAGAGTGCCTGCGCTGCACACATGTCGACCACTCCAGCCCCCTCGGCCCCCGCCGACAAGAGCAAGAATGGAGACCGCAGCAGCCTGGGGAAATACGTCAAGCGAATGAGCACCGTCTTCAAGAGAGACCGCTCCAGCAAGAACCAGCCGCCTGCCCTGTCCCCAGACGCACCACCCCAACCACCCCAACCACAACCACAACCACAACAACTACCACAACAACAACAACAACTACCACAGCAACCCCCCACGATCGAGACGGCCGAAAAAACTACCCAGACCGACCAACTCCCCTCGCCCCCCCTGTGAGTCTTCCATGGCCATATGTCGTCGTCGACGCTCGACTAACTCCCACCAGCCCCGTCCCTACCCATGTCGACACCCCACCCGCTCCCGTTCCCAAGGCCATGGACCGCAATGCTATGCAGCAGGAGCGTGCCCGCGCCCTCTTTGCAAAGTACGGCCTCACTCTGGAATCCCATGAATGGATCGCTGCCCCGGCTGCCCCGTCAACCGTCGAGCGCGTCGAGAAGCCCATTCGCATGCGTGTCCACCGCAGCTGCCACCGCTGCGGCACCCTCTACGGCTCCGACCGCACCTGTGTGCAGTGCGAGCACCGCCGCTGCAAAAAGTGCCCTCGCTACCCCAAGAAGAAGACGCCCGAGGAGAAGCAGGCCGACAAGGACCCCAATGAGCCTCCCAAGCGCAAGCGCATGCTGACCATCCGCACCCGCACCGGCGACGAACTCGTCTACCAGCCTGCCAGACAGCGCATCAGACGCACCTGCCACAAGTGCTCCACGCTCTTTGTCCCCGCTACAGCCACCGTCTGCCAAAACTGCCAGCATCTGCGCTGCACCCGCTGTGCCCGTGAACCCGCAAAGTTCACCAAATGGCCGACAGGCTATCCGGGAGATGCCGAGCCTGACAGTGAGACTGAGGTGGACAAGCAGCTCGAGACGTTCAGAAGGACATGGCGGAAGCCTAGGACAAGGGTGCGATGGCAGTGCGAGCAGTGCAATAGTCTCTTTCAAAATCACTCGCCCCAGTGTCCAGGCTGTAGCCACATGCGCTGTGATCAGTGCACTAGGTCTCCGTACGTTGTTTATTAATTTCCTCTCAACTACCCTGCTAACTCGATGCAGAGTCAAGAAACCAAAGACGGGCGAACAGTTTGATGCCCAGGTGGTTGCTGCTGTCGAGGCTAAGCTTAGAGCCATGGGCGTGGATGATGAGGTGTCTTCAGGGGCAGAGACTATTTGATCCAAGACTTGGCTGCATACCAGCCGAATACCATATGTTGATTACATAGTCACAGCAAGTCGAATGCATGTGTAGACATGTACAATGTAGACATGTGAAGACATATCTAGACACGTGTAGACATGATGTGTAGCATCATGCATAGACCACATGGCCCGTAGACCGACATGCATGGCGTCCAGACAATCCTTCAGCCCTCTCACAATAGTCATACTAGTCCCACCTCCACCAACAACGCCAATGCCAGCGCACAAATCCCACCTGCATCTTCACACCCCCCCCCCCTGCCAATCAACATGTCCGTCACACAAACCAATCAACCAAATCAACCCGCCTAACTAGTTACACTCCCGCAAAATGCCTAGCACAGCAATGACAAGTGTTTTCCTGTGATACCAGTACTACTCTCCAAACACACGCCACCACCTGTGCAACAGCAATAGCAATAGCAATAGCAACAGCAACAGCAACAGCAACAAACAATGCTAAAAAAAATTATCCAATCAAAATTCTCTCTCTCTCTCTCTCTCTTGCATATTTCGCGAGGGGTATGACGTCGGAACTGAATGCGGCTGATGCGCGTGGCTTGAAGGAAGAAGAAGAAAAACAAGAAAAAAGAAATGTTGGAAAACTACAAATGCAAACACCATGCATCTGGGTGGGTCGTGGTGGTAACGAGGCGCGGAAACTGGAAACTGGAAACTG